CTAATAATTGATCAAATAATGCTATAATTTACATGGTTTACATTGCTAAGTTGTCAGTTACACTATACCTGTGAAAAGTTTGGAATAATTAAAATGTTTAATGTTTCTAAAATAAATGTTATATAATATATACTATTTGAGCAAAAATACAACAAAAGCAGCAATATTGTGAAATATTATTACAATTTAAAGAAACTGTTTTTTATTTTACTACATTTTAAAATGTAATTTATTCCTGTGATGGCTGAATTTTCAGCAGCAATTACTCCAGTCTTCAGTGTCAGATGATCCTTCAGAAATCATTGTAATATGCTGATTTGTTACTAAAATATTATACATTTATTGGTGCTCAATTATAAATAATGGTTCTTGTTCTACATTTTGAAAACAGTTAAGACTTATTAAAAGTTGAAATTTAATATTATTAATTATACTTTCCCCAAAATTTTAAATGCAAAATATATAAGAAATGTTTCTTGAGCACCAAATCAGCATATTATTTTTACCAAATAAGCAGAAATGTCACATGAGTAACGGCTGCCTAAAATTCAGGAATCAATTACATTTTAGAATATACAGTGGGGGAAAAAAGTATTTAGTCAGCCACCAATTGTGCAAGTTCTCCCACTTAAAAAGATGAGAGAGGCCTGTAATTTTCATCATAGCTTAAGCAGGGGGACACGTCTGGATTTGAGTCCCTGGCGGCGCAGTGTGTTACTGATGGTAGCCTTTGTTACTTTGGTCCCAGCTCTCTGCAGGTTATTCACTAGGTTCCCCCGTGTGGTTCTGGGATTTTTGCTCACAGTTCTTGTGATCATTTTGACCCCATGGGGTGAGATCTTGCGTGGAGCCCCATATCGAGGGAGATTATCAGTGGTCTTGTATGTCTTCCATTTTCTAATAATTGCTCCCACAGTTGATTTCTTCACACCAAGCTGCTTACCTATTGCAGATTCAGTCTTCCCATCCTGGTGCAGGTCTACAATTTTGTTTCTGGTGTCCTTTGACAGCTCTTTGGTCTTGGCCATGGTGGAGTTTGGAGTGTGACTGTTTGAGGTTTTGGACAGGTGTCTTTTATACTGATAATGAGTTCAAACAGATGCCATTAATACAGGTAACGAGTGGAGGACAGAGGAGGCTCTTAAAGAAGAAGTTACAGGTCTGTGAGAGCCAGAAATCTTGCTTGTTTGTAGGTGACCAAATACTTATTTTACCGAGGAATTTACCAATTAATTCTTTAAAAATCCTACAATGTGATTTTCTGGATTTTTTTTTTCTCATTTTGTCTCTCATAGTTGAGGTATACCTATGATGAAAATTACAGGCCTCTCTCATCTTTTTAAGTGGGAGAACTTGCACAATTGGTGGCTGACTAAATACTTTTTTGCCCCACTGTATGAATATGGAATAGTAGTTGTTTTTTAATTGTAATAATATTTCGCAGTATTACTGTTTTTACATCATTTTTGCTTAAATAACCACAGCCTTGTTGGGCATAAGAGACTTTAAAAAACATTTAAAAAAAATACACATTATTTCCATTATTCCCCATTTGACTAGTAGTGTATTTTTTGTGTAAAAAAAAAAAAAAATCTGTGACAAATTACATGGAAAAAGAAAAAGAAATCCATTACTTTTCTCACTAAAATCCTCACTGAAGCTACAACACATCTAGAGGAAAAAGTAAACAAACAGTGGAAGGGAACTCTGTGTATTTGTTTGGAAGATGAGGTGAACACGGTCACTCTGTGTGTTCAACACAAGGTCAGGCAGACCACAACACTGTTTTGGGAAAACATGCACTGTGTAAGAGGGTGTGTTTGTATGTTTAGCCCCCTAAATCAATGCAAAGTGTGTGTGTGTGTTAGTGCTGATCTACTTTTCTGGAGGCTGAGGAAAACCATATAATCACCTGGGAGTTTCCAACTGGCCTATTAAATGGTCTTGCTAAATAGACTGTGTTGGAAATTAGACACTTATGTAAAACCTCAAACACATAGACATGTGTGGTCCTCTTATCGGGGTTATTACGCTTTTACTAAATCTAAAATTACCAAAAATAAATGCAACATTTCTCATATCATCTCATTTAACTTGATGTAGAAAAATAACTCAAATAAAAACTGAAATAAAAATGTAAAACTGAATACATTTAAAAAATTTAATCAAAACATGAATTAAAAAATTACTAACGTTTTATCTAAAAAAAACAAAATATAAAAATAATATTTTTTTTTGCCTCTTATATGTAATGTCATCTAAAGTTGGTTTGATGTAAAGCATGCTACAGAAAAGTACTGATATAAGCCAGATTTGCCTGTAGACATTTAACAGAGACATTTAATCAAGTTGCTCTCAGAACAGAAAGAACCTAGTTTGTACCATTGAGATTTATTTTTATTTTTTTGCATTGTGACATGACAATAATTCAGAAAGTTACTTCGTAATACAAAACACTTCTCAATCCTTCTGTCAAGATGCAATGACTAATTTAATTCAATTCTATTTCAGATTACAGTAATGAGAATCAATTTCCTTTCCTTTTTTTAATTTTTGTGGATGAAATATGATCTGGACATTACTTGACCGTTTTTGAGAGATTCACCCATAACGACTTCTGTAAAATATACAGTAAAATCTAACATAAATAAAAGCACTGAACAAACATAATGGCACAGTCAAAAATATAGAATCTACAAATCAATAAAAACACAGCTAAAAGTATTTAAACAGTAATGAGTTATGTCCCTTTGTTTCCATGATTTTTAAAACAATCTATAGATTGTTTTGTTGTTTGATTGTAACAGGCTTAAAAAAATAAATACAAATATGGATTTTGTAAAATGCACAACGGAAATGTGTTTTTGATTTTTTTCACAAAAACAAAGACTTTCAAACTCAAAGAATGAAATTCTTCCAGACATAGGGTAAATCAAAAACTGTGGTATTGATACTGTATCATAAACACTACTGTACAGGTTTTCTTGAGCATTAAACAAGGACTCTGGGACTCCAGCAGCAGGAGTGATTTGAGCTAAAGCCTATTTATAAATTGAAGTTCCTCCAAACATTAACTCTGTGACGTTGTTAAAAACACATACATCCTTTCCCAGGCCGACCTGAAGCTACACAGATGCTATAATGGGAAACAGGCCCTCCAAAATGGATGGATATGTAAACATGAGGCTCACACAGACGTGATGGAGTCCTGGAGGATTCTGGGTGTTTTGGTGTAATTATGCATTAAAGGCGTCCCGTGAGGTGGAGGTGAGGGGGGCAAGCTTAGGGTCACCAGGAGAGGTGCAGATGAGGATGTTGTTGTAGTTGAGCTAGTAGCTCTTCTTCTGTCGGCTCTTGAACATGTTCTCTGAAGATGGAGGAAGGGCAAAAGAACAGAAAAAAAATCTGATATTTAAACAACCAAACTATCATTTCTCTCTCAGTTAAAGGTACAGTTCACCCAAAATGAAATTCTGTCAGTCTGTAAGGGTTTATTTCTTCGTGATCATTGGTAGCCAATCAGTTGACAGCAGCTATTGACTTCCATAGTATTTTTCATTTATTTATTTTTTTTTTGACTATGGAAGTCAATGGCTACCATCAACTGTTTAGTTACTAACATTATTCTTCGGGCTTGTTTATAATTAAAAGTACTGCATAATCATAAAGTTCCCTGTGGGCTACCCCGTCACATGAAGGAAAGACTAATAACATTATTTAATACATTCAGTACAAAGCTTTTACTAGTTTCAGCATAATAATATTTTATTGGCTTTCATTAAACACGTTATTATCAAATCAGCAAAATCCCATATCTGGAACCCAAATATGTATTTACAAATTGGTTCATAAATAAATGTTAATAAATATTTACTTAAATGTGTATTTTAATATTGGAAAAACAGGATAACTGCAAGTCTAAGTCATTGAATGTGTACCACAACCTATTTAATAGAGTAAAATATTCTGAAATTTATTATTTATTTTGAGATTGTATGGGTTTGTTCTGTATTGATAGTGTTCTGTATAGATTATTATTATTATTATTTTGTGCGGGTTTTAATAAAAAGTCTATAATTTGACTTTAAAAATTCTGCAGATACCCTGGTTATGATTTGTTTTTTTTTGCCATATCGCTCACCCCTAGTTTGGCACATGATTGTATAGGAACATCATTTCAGGACCAACAAAGGATGTTGATCCAGGCAAATGACAGAAATAAATAAATAGCAGAAACACTATATATATATATAATATCATCTCATTTAACTTGATGTAGAAAAATAACTCAAATAAAAACTGAAATAAAAATGTAAAACTGAATACATTTAAAAAATTTAATCAAAACATGAATTAAAAAATTACTAACGTTTTATCTAAAAAAAACAAAATATAAAAATAATATTTTTTTTTGCCTCTTATATGTAATGTCATCTAAAGTTGGTTTGATGTAAAGCATGCTACAGAAAAGTACTGATATAAGCCAGATTTGCCTGTAGACATTTAACAGAGACATTTAATCAAGTTGCTCTCAGAACAGAAAGAACCTAGTTTGTACCATTGAGATTTATTTTTATTTTTTTGCATTGTGACATGACAATAATTCAGAAAGTTACTTCGTAATACAAAACACTTCTCAATCCTTCTGTCAAGATGCAATGACTAATTTAATTCAATTCTATTTCAGATTACAGTAATGAGAATCAATTTCCTTTCCTTTTTTTAATTTTTGTGGATGAAATATGATCTGGACATTACTTGACCGTTTTTGAGAGATTCACCCATAACGACTTCTGTAAAATATACAGTAAAATCTAACATAAATAAAAGCACTGAACAAACATAATGGCACAGTCAAAAATATAGAATCTACAAATCAATAAAAACACAGCTAAAAGTATTTAAACAGTAATGAGTTATGTCCCTTTGTTTCCATGATTTTTAAAACAATCTATAGATTGTTTTGTTGTTTGATTGTAACAGGCTTAAAAAAATAAATACAAATATGGATTTTGTAAAATGCACAACGGAAATGTGTTTTTGATTTTTTTCACAAAAACAAAGACTTTCAAACTCAAAGAATGAAATTCTTCCAGACATAGGGTAAATCAAAAACTGTGGTATTGATACTGTATCATAAACACTACTGTACAGGTTTTCTTGAGCATTAAACAAGGACTCTGGGACTCCAGCAGCAGGAGTGATTTGAGCTAAAGCCTATTTATAAATTGAAGTTCCTCCAAACATTAACTCTGTGACGCTGTTAAAAACACATACATCCTTTCCCAGGCCGACCTGAAGCTACACAGATGCTATAATGGGAAACAGGCCCTCCAAAATGGATGGATATGTAAACATGAGGCTCACACAGACGTGATGGAGTCCTGGAGGATTCTGGGTGTTTTGGTGTAATTATGCATTAAAGGCGTCCCGTGAGGTGGAGGTGAGGGGGGCAAGCTTAGGGTCACCAGGAGAGGTGCAGATGAGGATGTTGTTGTAGTTGAGCTAGTAGCTCTTCTTCTGTCGGCTCTTGAACATGTTCTCTGAAGATGGAGGAAGGGCAAAAGAACAGAAAAAAAATCTGATATTTAAACAACCAAATTATAATTTCTCTCTCAGTTAAAGGTACAGTTCACCCAAAATGAAATTCTGTCAGTCTGTAAGGGTTTATTTCTTCGTGATCGTTGGTAGCCAATCAGTTGACAGCAGCTATTGACTTCCATAGTATTTTCATTTATTTATTAATTTTTTTGACTATGGAAGTCAATGGCTACCATCAACTGTTTAGTTACTAACATTATTCTTCGGGCTTGTTTATAATTAAAAGTACTGCATAATCATAAAGTTCCCTGTGGGCTACCCCGTCACATGAAGGAAAGACTAATAACATTATTTAATACATTCAGTACAAAGCTTTTACTAGTTTCAGCATAATAATATTTTATTGGCTTTCATTAAACACGTTATTATCAAATCAGCAAAATCCCATATCTGGAACCCAAATATGTATTTACAAATTGGTTCATAAATAAATGTTAATAAATATTTACTTAAATGTGTATTTTAATATTGGAAAAACAGGATAACTGCAAGTCTAAGTCATTGAATGTGTACCACAACCTATTTAATAGAGTAAAATATTCTGAAATTTATTATTTATTTTGAGATTGTATGGGTTTGTTCTGTATTGATAGTGTTCTGTATAGATTATTATTATTATTATTTTGTGCGGGTTTTAATAAAAAGTCTATAATTTGACTTTAAAAATTCTGCAGATACCCTGGTTATGATTTGTTTTTTTTTGCCATATCGCTCACCCCTAGTTTGGCACATGATTGTATAGGAACATCATTTCAGGACCAACAAAGGATGTTGATCCAGGCAAATGACAGAAATAAATAAATAGCAGAAACACTATATATATATATATATATATATATATATATATATATAAGTAAATTAAGATTTGTACTCGATCTTAAGGAGTGATAAACAAAACACACCACTATATATATAAGGAAATTAAGATTTGTACTCGATCTTAAGGAGTGATAAACAGCAGGATAAACCACACCACATTCCACTAAATTAAATCATTACCCTTCCCTTCCTTAATCAGAGAGGAATATGAGGGAAAGCTGTGAGGAAAGAGCAGAACGCAGCCTGAAATACTGGGCAGAGGAGCCTCGGGCAAATTCTGTCAAGTATCGGAACTAAGTATCGGAGCTAAGGTGTACTCATAAATCATAAATCACATAAAAGACATCACATTATATAACGAAATAAAACTATAAATCACTGACAGGCTATAGGACTGCAAAAAATAAATGCTTAATAAATGTTTTTGTATTAACTTTTTTACCATTCATTTATGCTTCCATTTTTCTACAAAAATATTTTTTTTCTATTCACATCACTTAATACGGCTAATGTGTACTGACTATTGACAAAACAAGCATTCACTTCAATGAGTTACTGAATTATGAATTCAAAAGGTAACACTTTAATATAGGGACCAATTCTCACTATTAACTAGTTGCTTATTAGCATGCCTATTAATAACATATTGGCTGCTTATTAGTACTTATAAAGCACATATTCTACATCCCTAATCCTACCCAATACCTAAACTTAAAGGGGTCATCAGATGTGACGTGCACTTTTACACGTTTTTTTAACTGAAATGTGTGTTGGCTGTGTGTCTACACAACCACCCTTTAATGATAAAGATCCACCCAGTGTTTTTTTTTATCTCGTTAAATAATTTCCCCTTTCTCATATCAAGCCATTCTCAGATGCTTGTCTGTGTGATGTCACACAGACCCAGGCCCCTCCCACGATTGTTGATTGACACTAGCGTTTTACCTTAGACCCGCCCTGAGTGAGCTGTCAACAGTCCGCCATGTTTTGACGCCGGAGCAGATGTAGACAAGAATGACTCATGTTCATTTTAACCGGTTAACCGTTAACCGACCGTAATAATTTTTGACCGATTAATACAATCAGTTAAAGGGTTTAAAAAGTAATTTACTTATTTATTTATTTTTTTCGGTAATTTATCAAAATATTTTAAAAGATTTGCTGCATGGTTAAAATACGCTACGTGTATATAAAAAAAATTGCGTTTTTCTAGAGAAAAAAAAACTTAAGTCGCATTTTATTTAATTCAGAAATAGGCCTAATGCCGACGCGAAATGTTTACAAACATTATAATAAACACTGTAAACATAGTTAGGCTATTTTAGTTCCCCTCACTCCACAACAAATCCTTTCAATTAACAGTATTTAGAAAAGAACACAAATTAAAAATATAAGAAGCTATAGCAATATAAACGACAAGCCAAAACAAATTAATTTAGGCTAAAACGAAACTCAAACCAACGTTGGGTCTCTCATTCGACACAAAATCAAATGTTTCCGTATCCGCAATGTATTTGAATGGCAAAATATTATTTATTATGTAGCCTACTACACTGGCGTTCCAATATCCACGTAAAACAAAATGGTTTGCATAACATCACGGCGGTACGGTGATAACGCTTAACGGCACAGATTTTACTACCTACATATTTAAACTGAGCAGTCTTTTTTTTCCCATGTTTGACTGACTGTATTTTATTATGATAATGAACAGGCTGCATTGTCAAGGTAGCAAAACTTAACTGTATCATGAGAACTGCTCGTCACCCCGCGGGGTGAGCAGAACTCATTAACATTTAAAGGAACATGCACTAAAATGGGTTGCTGAAAACAGAGCTGTTTTTGACAGGATAAAAAGGGTGTTGTTTTACACTACCATTGAGAAATTTTAACCAAAGTATGTTATAGACTTTTCATTAAAACCCTAAAGAATCATATCAACTTGTGGAAAATGGGCATCCGATGACCTCTTTAAAGTCCCCCTGTGGTGAAAATCAAGTTTTTTATGTTGTTTATTTGTCTATGTGGTGTTTTTAATATGCTTTTAGACAAACCATGTGCGCAATCCATTTATCAACACCATTGCTGAGTATTTTCTCCTTAAAACTGTAGTTTCCCAAAGGCAGTCACAGAAACGCAGTTTGAAACAGCCTCTTTTTTGCTACGTCACAAAATTCAATAACCAATCGCGTCAAGGGATCCTATCCTTAGCATATCATTAACTGTGCTGCAAAGCAGAGGGTCTAGTGAGAAGGCAGCCAGGTTAGTCCGGTAACAGTTATATTTTTTCTGTAGATGTTTCGCCGACTGTTAATATTTCCCCCTATTTTCACGATGTCATGTGCTGTTAGCGCTTATTTATTTGTATTTAGAACCGCTAACTTGAATAATAACCCGCGGCAGCAGTGTAAAAGTAGCCCGGAGTCAGACGCACCTCTCCCGCATTGACATCCGCACGTCACACGCGTATGATCGCGGGCGCGATTTGGAATCACAAACTTGGCTGCATTTGAGTCTTCAAGGCATTTTGAGGACACAACATCATCAAGTAAGTAAATTTAACGAATGTTACAGTATCCACTGTAGTTGTTCGCTAGTAAAAACAGTTTTATCAGTCATCAGTTTATCCATGTACGAACCAGCGCAAACAGATAATGTTACTTCACGAAGTTAGCCATCAGTCTCCTTGCTTACGTTGAGCATACCAGCTTATTTCTGGTTCAAACACATATGGCTTAATTAAACCAATATTTCCACTTGCCATTGCCATTGTATCGCGTTTACTACAGTTCAGTTAGTGGATCAGGAGGCGCTGGCTCATGGCTGGCTGGTGTGTGACTGAGTGGAGGCGGGGCTAGGTTGCGGATTCATAGATCTGCGTATAGTAAATGAGGCAAGGGTGTAGAGTTGCATTCAAGCTATTTTAAGGCATGAGAAAATTATTTTCACGAGAAAAAACATTTAAATATGTAATTTTGATCATCAAAGATGAGTTTTAAAGGATAACATTTTTGACTATGGGGGACTTTAACAATTACCTTACTAACTTTTAATAATACTGAGGCAAAAGTAGTAGTTAATGGTTTCTTAATAGCGAGATAATAAAGTGTGACCATTCAAACTCATTTCAAAACTCACTTATTTTCATCTATTGAATTATCACTACTGTCAGACAAACATTCTGATAACTTGGTGTTCATAAAATAATTAGAAATCTAATCTGAAACAGCTCTATTGTTCATATTCTATTGATTCTCACGGATTCATTTTAAAGTGGAAATTTTGCCATTTTTAGAACTAATGGTCGGTAAAACAGTGCGACTTGTTTTCTCCCAGGTCTCTAGAATCATTGATGAGGACTTTACAAAGGCTTTATTCATACCTGAAAATAAGCTGTACAGTGCTTTGATAGGCAATTCTCTCCACATCTTCAACAGAAAGAGCATTACTGCGGTCCCACTTATAGGTGAAATTCTAAACAAAGGGGAAAAAACAAGGTTAACTAGCATGTTTAGAAACAAATTTACTGCGCTGTCAAGAAAAGGTCAGAATTTATTGATTCAGTTACAAACAGTAATGCTAACTAACTGGATATACTACTACTGGTTATTAAGGTTAGGGGTTAGTATTGCTTTCGGTGTTGTATAGGCAATCAACACTGTCACTGACATGACCAATTAAATCTTTACACTCAGCTGCGGGACAGGGTGTGTGTTTAACTGGTTTGGAAAAAAGTCATGCTATTGATCATTTGTTCAGTAGTTCATCAGATTTCAATCATAAAAAATAGGACTATAATATATATATTTTTCTTTTGGAATAGGAAGACTGTGAATGTGTATTAATAAAGTAAATATGGTCAGTCTTGAATTATTTACAGAAAACAATCTACATACCTCCAAAATGAGGGCCACAAACAGGTTGACCCACATGACTGAAGATGTCAACCACCAGGCCACAAAGTACACCAAGGACCACCTGACATGGAAGAATTATGGGTACACATTTACAAAACCCCGTTCAGTTAAAGCACACGTGTTAAAGACAGACAGAAGGGTGTGTGTGTGTGTGTGTGTGTGTGTAGAGCGTCTAGCTTACTCTGTAGTGTATCTGGTGTATGCGTCTGTGAAAACATGCCAGTTATTCACCACCATGATGTTATAGAGGAGAACCAGAGAGGACTGGAAAAATATGACAGGAAAAATAGTTAAATTTTTTTGTATTTAATAGCTCAATAATTTACGAGACCAAAAAACAGTTTTCCTTAATTGTATGTAGGCTTAAACCTAAAATATAGGTATATATATAAATATATATTTTGAAAGTGAAAATAGTATTAAAATAAAAAATGTACTTTAATACTTTAAGCCTAGCAAATCCGGTCAAATACTCTGAATACTTATTCCTCATACATGCTTATTATGGCATTTTGGGAACTTGTTAAAAACCAAGTTCCCAGAGGCCTCTGTGCAACTTACAGCAAAATCATCAAAGTTGTTTGGCCAGTACTCCAGCTGTTCGAAAGTGCCACAATCCATGCTGAAGGGACCATCCGTTTTGTTCTCTATGCTGGCATTGGAGATTAGACTGAAAGGAGAGCACATAGAGAGAGAAGAGGCTCAGATCTAAAATCTATGAAAATAATAAGAAATGTTTCTTGAGCATAATTAGTATATTACAATGATTTCTGAAGGATCATGTGACACTGAAGACTATAGTAATGGCTGCTGAAAATTCAGTCATCACAGTAATAAATCACAATTTAAAATACATTTAAAAAGTAATAAATTGTAATAATATCTCACAATATTACCGTTTTTACTGTATTTTTATGTTTCCTGTTAAATGTGCAGTTGATGAACAGTACCTCATGTTTGATGGAGGGGTTATAGCTCCCTGGAAAAGCCAGATACCAAGGACGGCAAACATATAATACACTACCTGTATCAGCGAAATGTACAAGTGAAGAGACCATCAGTACGATTAATCGCCATCAATAATAAAACTGCTAAAAAAAAAGAGTCTGTTCACTCACCAATAGAATGCCAGCAAATGCCCGTAAGTTTTTCACCAGGTCCACAAGAGTGCTGGCCACCACAGCCATCAACTAAAGTAAGCACAAAAAAATATTTACACATTAAGCATTTATTACATTTTAAGCATTTTTTAGTGCTCTTTTAATGTCAGATGGTATGACCAATTGTGCCAATTATATGAAAAAATACTGGCTCCTGTGAACTGTCGTCAAATAGGTAAGGAATAATGTACAGTCTATCCATCCATCCATCCAGTATTTTTTAAGCTTTTTATTTTGGTGCACTGAAAACCTTTTAACTTTACTAGTGACCGGCAAAAAACTATTTGAGAAAAGAAATGCAATGGTGCCGGTACGTTTCGCACAGCTGTAGTATAATTTCTCCTTGTGTACATTTAGAACCAATGTGATTCATGTGAGAAGCCCGCCACCGACCTTGATTTCTGGAATTATTCTGAGGAAACGGAAGACAATCAACATGTTGACCAGTCGCACCATCTCCCACAAAGCCATCACATGTTGTGGAACCGGATCTCTGTAAACATAAGAGTAAAACATCACATTGAAGCATTTGGAGAAGAGATCAGGAGATTTGTTCTTCAAATTAAGCACACTCACATGTCCTCATAGGGAATCCTGTACGTGATGAATATGGCAATCTGAATTGCCTGTTGAGAATAAAAGAAAAATGGGTGTCCAGTTATTGCCTTCACCATGTAAACATGTATTCCGCAGAATTCCTAATGATAATTTTAAATCACAAAAAAATTACACAGGAAATGTGTTACCAGAAGAAGAACAGTGAGGAATCCATCAAATATGTTATTCCTGTAAGACAGGTAACCTCTCCAACCAAAAGCCACTATTTTCAGCAGGATCTCTATTAAATAGTACAGGATGAAAATACAGTTGAGGATCTAAAAGACAGAAAATATATTTACATGAATATTTATAGAAAAACACATATATCAACTATTGCTGAAAAAGCACCAGGGCATTTTTAAAGTCCACCCAAAGGATTTAACACAATGTTATTTATTTATTTATTTATTTTTTACAAACGAACCAACAACTAACATTTTTCTACGAAATTATATTTTTACAGCGACATAAATTATTTTCAGTGCATGAAACAGTCACCTCCATATAGAAGTTATTTTTCTCTGACCCAGATTTCTCTGAATTCAGAACCAAGACAGTCTGCAGAAAAACAATAACAGATATCAGATATGAACTTCAAGATTCAAATAAATGTTTTTTGCATATGCTATCCACAAGATGGCACCATTTTGCAAAAAAGAAAAACTCAAAACATCCTGTGCTCTACATAGACCTTGCAATCTATTTTTGTGAACTAAATTATTCAAATAATTTTCTGATCTGATTTCAAATAATGCTATAATTTGTTAATAATAATTGTAATAATACAATTATTAAACTAGTTTCTTTTATTACATGAATTGTAAGCATTTATGGTATGAGTACTTTAACATTTGTAGATTTCATTTTATTGTATAAAGTATAATCTGTGGTCAATGTTTAAATACATTTAATGACTTATTTGTGTAAGAGTAAAGTGTTACACTGATTATTTAATATTAAAACTTACATATTTCAATCCAAATCAATTTAATTTGGCATTTCTATCTCAAGAGCCCCTTGCAGCTCCATAATGAACCAGTAGGTGGTGAACAACCAATTTGGAAGACCCTGTTTTAGTCTACTGAATTCTGGAAAAGTGTGCAATGTTCTTTATGTAGGGTGATGTATATGATAATCAAAGCAAGTAAAAGGAAATATGATATCTTACACAGATACAGATGACATTTGCCAGAGCGACAACATTCCCCAGCACAGTAATATAAAAGTGACTGTAGATATTCTGGATATGCCGTAGGACAGGAGAACTGTACTCTGGTTTTGGTGGATGCTGAAGGGGGGGGGGAACAAAAAACAACAATAGAACAGTTAAAATGTCTGTTGACACCAAAGCTGAATTCAGAATTAAATTAAGAGTGTCTTTAGAAATTCCAACTCAACTCCTTCAGTTTGAATCTGAGGAAGTAAAATCTAATTTTAATGAAATTCAAAAACACTCTGCTACAAGTGTGGTTTAATATTACATTATTCCACTTTCCTGAAAAATGATATACTATTAATATTCAATGTTTGTATAAGAATTTTCTACACAATTTATATAAATTGTATTATATTTATACATATTATATTCAATAATTTAATTTAATTTAATAATTAATTATATTATATGTTATTATACATTATTATATTTGTTATAAGAATGTAACTTATTTGTTTGGAACATAGTTGAAGAACACATTATTTTCTAGAATGCTCTCTTAATTGTATTAAAGCCAAACAAAATGAAGCAAACTTTAAACAGTTATCTATTCTTGCCTATTTCGTTGTTGTATTGGATTCATCAAAACTCGTTTTGTGAGTTTTGTGAATTGCCATACACTGTAAAAAAAAATTCTGTAACATTTACGGTAAAAAAAAACGGCAGCTGTGGATGCCGGAATTTTACCATAAAAAATACAGTAGCAACGTTTTAGATTTTACAGTTTTAACTCAAATTTACAGTTAAATACCGTAATTTCATTAACTGATATAATGTTAATATATCAACCTATTGAAGTACTGAAGTCTGTTTTGTACCTCTGTAATACACTGATATCCACCAAAAGCAGGTGGTGATGAGAAAGTCGCATGATGAACCAAAGCCCATCACAAGCAGCTTTTAAATATTAATATATATAGAAGGTGCACAGTGTTATTCACACAAACACTAAACACCATCATGGTAACACACATGAAACTGAAATAATGCACTAAATATTAATTTAACAACATTAGGTGTAACATACAACCCTAATAAACATAACCGATAAGAAAAAACTAAGTAGAAACATAGTTATTAAAAAAAAACATAAAATTTGAAATGTAATGCAGGGAATTCTGGTAATGTCAATTTACGGTTATTCACTGTAAAATATATGTTCTTTTTCACTTCCAAAAACGGTATACTACCGTAAAAATTACATGTAATGTCCAATACAGTTTTTCACCGTATATAGTAGGGGAATTTATCGTTAAACAAATTAACAGGTTTTAACTGTAGCATTTTTCCAGTCTATTACCGTTAAATTCACGGCCAATTTTTACAGTGTACAGCTGTCATTCTGATCCAAATTCTAACTCATAAAATGCAAGGGAACCAATTCTCAACTTGCCCAACCCTGCTATGCACTAATGTCCCAATGATTCTAATACTAATTTAACCAACTTGCACAAACTGTTCAAAAATTGTAACTTGCTGAATTCTGAATGTACTGTAATGTAAACTGATCCACAAATGTAGACGATCAAACCTCTTTCATAAAATCCTTATCCAGCTCATTAAAGAGCCTCTGGAAGGCCTCGCCATTAATGAAGCCGTCTGGGAACTGCTGAGCAGCCTGGAGGAAACAAAAGACAGGTAAAACAAACAACCATGTCACGCACTATTTACTATAACAAACTATTCTGCAATCTGTATTGACCTTAATGATAGCCTGCCTGCAGTAAGACTTCATGTGGACTCTATCCATGACCTGCAGAAACATGTTCACCGCCACTCGCTCCCTGAGCAGCAACAGGAAAAGTCATGTGACCAGGCATAAAACACTACATTAGAGATATAAAGAGTAAATGTTTGCTACAAGGAAGAAAGACTAAAGTGCTGGAGAGGACTGGATCTTACACATGGCCTTCAGACTGAGTGCTGGTGTGCCCTCGGCCTGGACAGCACAGCACCTCGAAAGCAGCCCGAATACCCAGACGCCTCCTGATTATAGACGTCTGAACTGACATCTAAACACACAGACCATAACATCAATAATTAAAGGAACAGTTCACCTAAAATCAACATTTACTGACCCTCATTTTGTCACAAACATGTATGACTTCACAAAACACAAGAGGAATTTTTGAAGAATTTTCACGCCACTCTTTTCCATACAATAATAATTATGGTATGCCTTAAAACCAATTGAAAAAACAGGGTCATATGGAAAACTTTTATTGTGCTAAACTTTTTTTATTTTTTTGTCATTTTTGGAGCTTGATGGGCTCTGATCAGTTCTGTTGTATGGAAAAGAGGAGCTTGGAAATGATAAAATACATTCTATGCTCCATGGGAAAAAAAACAGTCATATGAGTTTGGAAATAATAACAGAATATAGATTGCTGAACTATTCTTTTAGCAAAAAAGCACAAATTCCTAAAACAACGTCAAATGTAAGTCACATAACCGTCACTCACCAGTAAATATCCCCTGAACTGGTTATAAATAATAGCCGTCATTAGATTCATTAACAAATACGTCCCTAAAAGAAAAGAAAAAAAATTGTCAATGGTTAATGCAGGTGGAAAATTTTGAATGCAAGTAATATTAACTGCAGTGTGCGTGCGTGTAAATATACACTACGAGTCAAAAGTTTTTGAAAAGAAGTCTCTTATGCTCACCAAAGCTGCACTGAAAAAATACAGTAAAAAATTAAAATAAATTGCATAAAATTGAATGCAAATTTGATGCAATTTATTCCTGAGTTTTCAGCAGCCATTACTCAGACACATTTCTTCAGAAATAATTATTAGAGACTTCTTTTAGAAATATTGCAAAATCTTATATTATTCCAATGTTTTCACCAGTAGTTTATGTGTGTGTGTGTGTGTGATTGAATGCCATTAAAACTTACCAAACACACTAAAGAGAATAAAAAATATAGAATAGCCACGGTTCAGAGAGTATGCTGGAATCATGACTGTTGAGAGAGGAAGACACGTTGACAGACACACAGATTACAAGAAAGGTTGTAGGCCATTTTAGGCAGTTTCACATTTAAGATACCTGTGAAAGTTTAACAGAACGTTGTGACAAGTCACAAGACATCATGTCATGTGGTTAAAGCCAATGACTCATAGCCTCCACTGCAATGAGCCAGAGATGACTGAGAATTCGACACAACGGTGCCAAAATGTCATCCGTCACTGACCATCTAAAACTTTACGGAGTCATCCAGAGATTTGCACCTCCTGACATTTACAGTCAAATGAAGACGTACCGTCAGGGTTATTGGCTGTCGTTAGCAGCACTAGCAGAGAAGACAGGGCCTTTGGCAGGTTTTTGAAGTAGGTTTCCCATTCTCCATTCTTCTTAGGGTCCTACAGAAACACATCTATTCAGTCAACTGTAGCAACTCACTTGGAATAAAAGTGTCTGCTAAATTATTCAGTGTAAAGATTGGATGGTATTTGTTCCTTTACTGGCCAGATGACAATTACAAATTGCACATTAAGATTAACTAATTAAAACTAGGACTGGATCTTACACATGGCCTTCAGACTGAGTGCTGGTGTGCCCTCGGCCTGGACAGCACAGCACCTCGAAAGCAGCCCGAATACCCAGACGCCTCCTGATTATAGACGTCTGAACTGACATCTAAACACACAGACCATAACATCAATAATTAAAGGAACAGTTCACCTAAAATCAACATTTACTGACCCTCATTTTGTCACAAACATGTATGACTTCACAAAACACAAGAGGAATTTTTGAAGAATTTTCACGCCACTCTTTTCCATACAATAATAATTATGGTATGCCTTAAAACCAATTGAAAAAACAGGGTCATATGGAAAACTTTTATTGTGCTAAACTTTTTTTATTTTTTTGTCATTTTTGGAGCTTGATGGGCTCTGATCAGTTCTGTTGTATGGAAAAGAGGAGCTTGGAAATGATAAAATACATTCTATGCTCCATGGGAAAAAAAACAGTCATATGAGTTTGGAAATAATAACAGAATATAGATTGCTGAACTATTCTTTTAGCAAAAAAGCACAAATTCCTAAAACAACGTCAAATGTAAGTCACATAACCGTCACTCACCAGTAAATATCCCCTGAACTGGTTATAAATAATAGCCGTCATTAGATTCATTAACAAATACGTCCCTAAAAGAAAAGAAAAAAAATTGTCAATGGTTAATGCAGGTGGAAAATTTTGAATGCAAGTAATATTAACTGCAGTGTGCGTGCGTGTAAATATACACTACGAGTCAAAAGTTTTTGAAAAGAAGTCTCTTATGCTCACCAAAGCTGCACTGAAAAAATACAGTAAAAAATTAAAATAAATTGCATAAAATTGAATGCAAATTTGATGCAATTTATTCCTGAGTTTTCAGCAGCCATTACTCAGACACATTTCTTCAGAAATAATTATTAGAGACTTCTTTTAGAAATATTGCAAAATCTTATATTATTCCAATGTTTTCACCAGTAGTTTATGTGTGTGTGTGTGTGTGATTGAATGCCATTAAAACTTACCAAACACACTAAAGAGAATAAAATATATAGAATAGCCACGGTTCAGAGAGTATGCTGGAATCATGACTGTTGAGAGAGGAAGACACGTTGACAGACACACAGATTACAAGAAAGGTTGTAGGCCATTTTAGGCAGTTTCACATTTAAGATACCTGTGAAAGTTTAACAGAACGTTGTGACAAGTCACAAGACATCATGTCATGTGGTTAAAGCCAATGACTCATAGCCTCCACTGCAATGAGCCAGAGATGACTGAGAATTCGACACAACGGTGCCAAAATGTCATCCGTCACTGACCATCTAAAACTTTACTGAGTCATCCAGAGATTTGCACCTCCTGACATTTACAGTCAAATGAAGACGTACCGTCAGGGTTATTGGCTGTCGTTAGCAGCACTAGCAGAGAAGACAGGGCCTTTGGCAGGTTTTTGAAGTAGGTTTCCCATTCTCCATTCTTCTTAGGGTCCTACAGAAACACATCTATTCAGTCAACTGTAGCAACTCACTTGGAATAAAAGTGTCTGCTAAATTATTCAGTGTAAAGATTGGATGGTATTTGTTCCTTTACTGGCCAGATGACAATTACAAATTGCACATTAAGATTAACTAATTAAAACTAAACTAAATTTATTTTAAAAACTACACTAATTTTATTAACTAAACTTTATTTGTAATTATCCAGTTTTACTAACAGCTTTACTCCGGCTGACCTTATTGCATATGCATTTGTAGCAGTTTCCCTTTCAGACGCAAAATTTATGGGAGGAGAGTAGGCCTATTTAAATGAATCATGCAACATGATTTACTAAGGTTTGCGTTAGTCAATTTACTGGTATTTGCACCACTCAAAAAAAGCATGTCTTAACCTATTTTGCACTTGACTTGGTTGCGACTGCTGCAGCCAGGAGGAAGCATTGCTTGGTAGAAGGGAGAGACTTTTTTTCCCCACTCTTATTAATTTATTTGGAATGCCAGAGGAAGATGTTATCCGTACATATTGTATGCCAAGCCATATAATTTTTTCATTTACTCCGCTTTTTTGCCACCTTAATTTGTGCTGATCTTGGTAGATTACGTTGTTCATTATGGAAATGAGATGTTGCATCTGTTCTTTAATTTACGCATTGTCAGTAAATCACCCGCAGAACTTTCCACTTCCATCTGCAGTGAATATTTTTGGAACTGTGCTCTCGCACTAATTTGTCTTGTTTGGTAAATCTGGCCCTTAGTACATTACTGAGGGTTTCTGTAGGTTTTATCAAGGTAAAATTAAGACTATTTAAGACCTTTTTAAAAACAAGTAAAGAAAATGTAAGGAATAAATTGAAGAGAATACAAGAATATGCCCAAGTCAATATGCTCTCTTAATGTAAATGTCTAGAGAGAACACGAGTTACCAAAAAAAAAAACACTTTTACTTTACTTCCTGATCACACTGCAAAAAAGCTGATTTTCTTCCACAGTAATTTTGTGCAAAATGTCTCTTAAGATACATTTACTTGAGGAGCAAATTGACATAAGAAGTCTGAAATTGATTAAAATTAAGCGAGTTTGATTAAAATATGAACAATATCTGCCAATGGGCTCAGAAAAATTCAACTTAATTCAAAGGAGAAAAAGTTTTCATACCCCACTGACAGATATTTGTTTTTGTTTTAAACATAAACTCACTCAATTTTGTTATATTTTTCAAGAACTTACATTTGCATGTAAATGTATCTTGATTTAAGCATGATTAGATATTTGTATTGGAAAACAAAAATATTTTCACTTTTACAATGTATGCAACATTTAATGCCATGACTTTATCAGTTTTAGACTTTCTGCTCTTATTTAAAAAGGCTTTTTTAAGACCCACACAAACCCTGATTACATTTTTACATTTTCTGAATACATTTTTAGTGGTGCTTGCCTGTGCAAAAAAATGCTGCCAGGATGCTAAAGTATTGTGGTTGGATGCTGTGTGGTTTCTGAGGTATTCAGCATGTAGCTATGTGGCTGCTTACTGGCCCATGTCAAAAGATCCCACATACAAGTCTCTATATTCTGATATCTAGATATGACTCTGGTTTCTCCATCAACAGAAGTCTTTAGGAGTTTTATTGTCTGCTCAGTAAAAATCTGATCTCTTGAACATCTCTCCTCAATAAGCAACACTAACGTATCATTCATGTCCAAAGCACAAATTGATGAGTATGAGTTATGTGGCAAAATGTAATACTTGGGGACAGGGGCTTGTTTAAATCAAAAAGTGGCACCATATAAGTATTGATAGAAATTATGTGATAAGGATGTGATCACTTCTTACATCTGATTTGGCAAAGATCAGCATTCCTATCATGGTGAATAAGCAGATGTGTAACGCCAGAAGCAGAATAACACTGAAACGGAAAGAGTGAAAAACAGAGAGAACCGATCCGGTCAATGTTTATCCGATCATTTTTAAATTATAATATTAGAATGGAACTGCACACAAATTGAGAAGTGAAAATAAGGAATTAAATGGAGGCTGTTATGGGGAAAAACCCTTATTACAGAAAATATGTTATTACCTTGCTATTTCAGGAAGAGTCCTTTTGATACATTTTAGAGTTTTCTTCATAAGGGAAGAGTTTTGCAAGAGGAAAAATGGGCGAATTAGTCTCCTGACTCTTAAACTCTGTGGGACAGAATGACAAGGAAGCATTACAATCAATGGACCTGATGCTAACAGCTGACTCAGACATTTACTTACTTAGGATTACTTGTCCAAAAATTTACATTTCATTTAATTTCCCTCAGGTCATATTTGATGTGCTTATGCAAATGAGATTTGCAAATGAGATTTGCAAAGTTCGTTTAGAATTACATTTTACTTGTATTTCTATGAATTATAAGCACATTTGTGACCCTGGACCACAAAACCAGTCATAAGGGTCAATTTTTCGAAATTTAGATTTATACATCACCTAGAATCTGAGGGTGCAAAAAAATCTAAATATTGAGAAAATCGCCTTTAAAGTTGTCCAAATTAAGTTCTTAGCAATGCATATTACCAATCAAAAATTAAGTTTTAATATATTTACAGTAGGAAATTTACCAAATATCTTCATGGAACATGATCTTTACTTAATATCCTTATAATTTTTAGCATAAAAGAAAAATCAATAATTTTGACACATACAATGTATTTTTGGCTATTGCTACAAATATACCCCAGCGACTTAAGACTGGTTTTGTGCTCCAGCAGGGTCACATTTTATTTTGCCAATAGTGTTGGGCAGATTACATGTGGGGACTTTCTATATTTAATTTAATGAAACTACATAAAAAGGTATATTTATGTCATATTGAATTAATTTAGTAATTTATTGTCACATTTAACTTAAAACTATTTCAATCTTCAGTTTAATGTAATGCGTTAATTGCCACTTCTTTGTAATTATTTGTGGAACTTACTAGCAATTTCGAGTGAAAACTTTCTACGCCAATTTGTTTTATAGTGTAAATATTGTCATATACTGTTATAGTGTAAAGAGGCATAATAAATAAGCAGCTTTGTAGTACAGTTCTTATAAACTCACCTCACTGCACATCATGCTAATACTCAACATCCAATCAATAACTGATGCTGCAATCACTACTATATAACCAATCAGCCACTTGTTCATACGAAACTCCTCCCATCCTATCAGATAACTCTGCAAAACACACAAAACATCCAATATGTTCTTTAATATAATATTAAGCAACTTAAGTCATATTACAAAAGAGGTCTGTTTAACTCTGTCATATGGGCTTGAATGACATTTAATGACATAATTTTCATTTTTTGAGTGAACTACCTGTTTAATGCTAACCCAATAGTCAACTGAATATTTCTGGATTTCTACCTTCACAGTGACATCTAGGATGAAGATACAAAGGCAGACTATCTCAATCCCCTCCGTCAGTCCACAGGGTGGCTCCCAAGGCTTGGGTTTGAAACGAATGTCCGAGGTGTAGGTCAGAGAGGAGGGTGTCTCAATGAAAGCCAGTCCCAGTACAACAGCAATAGTGAACCCCAGACCCCTTCAAGAGAAAGAGAGAGTGTGGAACTGATACTGACAGAGAGAAACATAAGCAAATGACCACATAAGTAGCTAGAGGGTACAGGTCAAAATAATTGCAGGAATGTTGCAGGTCCAGTTTTTTTTTTTTTTTTACCCCAAAAGTATTCCTGCTAACAGTTACTAATAAAGAACAAAGCATTAGAAAGCAGCCATCTGTAGACAGGTATCAAATTGACTAATGTTACTGCAGAGACTGTCTGGCATTGTGTATTTTAGCATGATACACAAACATACAGGGTTTTAAATTAACCTTTTCACTCACTAGGCAAATTAGGTTATTGGCCATTTAGAACTTCTAATAGCCAAAACAGAAATATTGCACATAAAGTGGATTATCAAAATCAGACACACAAAACAATCTCTGTGACAGCATTTAATTTTTAAATATAGCTCACTCCAAAATTAATGTTTAATGTTAAACAATGAAGATTAGTGGACAGGCTGTAATTTAAAAAAATTATCAGATGTTTCCTTACAAATGTCAACTTACTGAGAACTGAAGCCTTTCTTCCATTAAAGGGTTAGTTCACCCAAAAATTAGAATTCTGTCATTAATTAGCGTGTGGCGTGATGACATCATTACGCCGGATCTGGGTCAGCACCGCCACATGCTTGCGTCATGATACTGTCGCGAACGCGCGACAGTAGAGACGAAAATGTGGAATAAAGTTGTTATTTTTGTTTTCTTTGCGCAAAAATGTATTCTCGTAGCTTCGTAACTTTACAGTTGAACCAGTGATGTCACACGGACTACTTTGTCGATCATATCTTGGTACTTTTCTGGACCTTGAAGGTGGTAGTTACCTTGCTGTCTATGGGAGGGTCAGAGAGCCCTCAGATTTGATCAAAAATATCTTAAATTGTGTTCCGAAGATGAACGGAGGTCTTATGGGTTTGGAACAACACGAGGGTGAGTAATTAATGACAGCATGTTCATTTTTGAGTGAACTAACCCTTTAATATCCATTAAAAAATGCCAACCTGTTCTCACTCCCAAGGGGTCTGAAAATAATGCTCCAAAATATCATACCATGATAACAAAATTATACCCATGCATTTAATTTAACGAATGTAAAATTCTCATGCCCTTCGTATCAGTATATTGATGACAAATGTTTTTAAATATGACGCATTGCAATAAACACGCTAAAGGGTGCTTTGGCATCTGCATAATGACATGCAAAAGTCTTGGACATGCGGCATTTATCGGACCCCTAGGAACTGAGAACGGCTTGATAAGTGGCCTCTTGTCTGCAAGTGCTCTGGAAGACAGTAAACTGGTCACAAAAAAGCTGCTTGGATATAATTCTCTATATGAAGACTTTATTCAAGCCAAAAAAACATATTTATTCTTGAAAAATGCACAATCTAAATTTTGTTAATGTAATTCAATAGTAAACTTTGTGAGTGGCTCACTTTGTCATTGCAGGATATTTGTCTCGTCTCTTTTTGCTTTGTTTTGCTAATACTGGAGGCTGTTTTTATGGGAAGGGCTAGCGATGGTGTGTAAAATGATAGATTTACTAATCACATCCCACCAAACTGGCTAGTGAGTTGATATGTGTAACCCAGCATGGGTGATTTTCACCCACATTTGGCAGGTTTTCATTTCTATCCCTGCAAGGATACCGGAAAGGGACATGATGTAACTATAAGTGCTGTTTACATTCCACCCACAGGAACTATACTGGTAATGCATTATTACTGTAGAAGCTCTTCTACCTAGAACTGTAATCACACCACAAAAAGATGACATGGACAACTTAATAGCTCCAAAAACGAACATTTTGTAATGTTGTGTAATGTAAAATGCAAGGAATATTTCTGCTTTTAAACCCTCTAGAATGTGAATTTTATTTGATTTTACAAATTAAGAGACAAGTCTAACCTTTCTGTGGTAATTGACAACATGTCTGATCCAATCCAACAACAAGGTTCTGTGAATAAAGCTTAAAGAACTATGAAATGGCTTTGTGATCTTAGTTTTCTTGTCTGTGTTAACGTACAGTATCCCCAATAACAGGACGTCGAGGCAGGGAATATTGAAGGGATTGTCCCAATTAGCTTTTTATCTTCCTTAATGGGACATATATCCAAGTAAAAAGGCTTCTTGAATGACAAATTGTGGGTGAGACTTGATGTTATCCACTGGAACTGTCTGGATCATAATAGTTTAATAGACCATAACAGTTTAATAGGTTTCCAAAAATAAATAAATAAAT